GACTGACACTCGCTGTCCGTACGCCTTGTTTGCGCCAATAGTCACACTTCCCGTCAATATATCTGTAATTTATTATTTTTGTAAATTTATAAAGTAATAAATGTAAAAAATACTTGTTAGATTACCTGAGAATCAAATATAATGAAATACTAAATATACTAGTAGAAATCAATGTCCATTTTATTATTGATATTTCAAGTATCGTTTGTAGGGTTGACAACATTTTAATTTTTAAAAATTAATTTTCTTTTCATTTAAAACAATATCACTTAAAGTTTTAAAATTAATTCACATTAAAGTAGTTACAATTATATGCTTTCTATTCAATAATTTGAGTATTTAATAGTTTAGTATTTATACTATTTCTTATGAAGGTCATTTATTGAATTTAAATTATGCAACTTTTAAAATTTACTATATCTTATTAAATATAATAGTTACATGTTCAATTTAGCAATATTTATATAATATAATTTGGTATAAACAAACTTGATGCACTTATTTGTGATAAATAAAAGGTACTTGTAAAAATTCAAGGTTATCGAAGTTATTTATGATAAATACAGTTTTACTGTATAAAGTCCTATAAACCTATTGAACATAAACAAACTTGATGCACTTGATAATAATTAGTGATAAAGTCTAATTATTATACAATATTATATATAATGTAAGTGTTTAGGTATCAATAAAATATTTGATTAATTTATATTTATTCTATCGAGTTAACTTTATTTTCATAAGGATAATTAATTAGGAATGACATGAATCCTATTATTTGGAAACATTTGTTGATATCTAGTGTAAAACCAAACCCAGAATCGACTCTCAATTATACGAATAACAATGTCATTGCCATTAGTGCCAAACCATAGGCCAAACAGTCCTCCAATATATGACATATAGTCCGTTAGAGACATAACCGGTTCGTCCCGATAGACAAACAGGGGTTGACTGGAGTCCCAAACCAATGCCTTCTCTGTCGTCCTATTATTAACATTCAATTTATGCCACAATTCGTTACCAATTTGTGTATCGCTTGATATGATTCTCGTATTATATTCAGCGGACAAACAATTTTTGGGACAATATTTCAAACATTTAACAGTTGTATTGAACATAACATCATAATCTCTGGATGTCTTATAACCATAAACTTCACCATCATCACTTTCAATATCTAAATCGTATAGAAAATCATCTAGAAATAATATATAACATTTAAATCGTCTTTTCCAATAATATCTCCGACATCGGCGTACGCAGTGTTTGTATGATATAGCATCGAATGGAGCTTGATCATTTTTATAATAACTACAGTGTCCATGTGGTTTGGGTAGATAAGTGAACAGTGTTTTTCTAATCAGCAAGGTATGATTAAATCCTATGAAATAAATATTTTACACCGTTTTGAAATCATGATAATCAAAATGTTGGAAATTTGTTAAAAAATTAATAAAAATTTAATAAAGTATAATAATTTTACACATTTTAAGCTCGCTCATTTTCGGGGGACCAGAGGTCCCACCTGTGCTCCCACCATGGACAATTGCATATTTATTTTCATTTCAACAGACAGATATCTGTTGGCAACCATAACAGTGCCCTGGAGGAATTGTTGGATATTAACCTTATGGGGCAATATATTAATCGCAGTTATTGTTTGGTTGTAATAATTGTTTAGACCAGGTGGAGACTTTTCGTGAGACCGAAAATATTTTTGTACAATATAGTTGTAAAATTGTTTAAATCTTGTCAGGATCATTTTTTGTTCTAGGTTAAACATAATATTTAGCAAGAATAATAATTAACAACCTTATTTTATATTTATAAAGATAAAAGTAATTTTTATAATTACATTAAGTTAATATAAAGTTAATATTTATGTAATTAAGTTTGCCAATAAATAATTAGTTTTTTACAATCATTTATAATGATGTCTATTAATTTATAAGTGTTGTTATTATTATATCAAGTACACTTAAATTATAAGCTCAAACAAATAATAAGAATAACATTTTATAAGGTATTTATGTAAAATTAAATAATTTTTAAAATGTCTGGACAAACGTTGCTTAACTGCTCCAGTATTTGTTAAGTTTGACCCTGTCTCATTTTTATCTACTAGGATTATGGATAAACGATTTGTAGACACTAATTAAATTGAAATTTTAATTTTATAAATTTGAAAAAATTTTAATTATTTTTAGGCACTTACCAGAATTAGACTGAGAATTACCATGGAAATTTGCTTGTACACCTCCTTTAATGGGAGCTTGGCTATTAATTTTACTAAATGATACTAGTATAATTAGTACAGCAATTGCTATGCTGTGATTATTTACTATAATTGCCATTATTTGCTAAAAATGTGTTTATTTATACCGACATTTTGTTACACTATTTATTAATTAAAACTATTAATTAAAAATAAATTTTCATTATGTACAATTCAAATGAGTAGGCAATTACTGTACTATTACTAGATTACTATTACTGTATAATAAATCCGAATACTATTTTATTAAATTTTAATTAAAACTTAATAACAATTTAATAATGTAAATAATTTAAAAAGTCAATAAACCTAGTATAATACAATAAAATTAATATTATAAATTATGAATTGCTTAAATTTAGCCTGTCATATTTATTTATGATTACTGTATTTTCAAAACACTTTTGTAAACAAACTTATATATTAGTCAATATATATTAGTATTATATTTAAATTATTAATAATAAAAGTTTACAAATTAATCGCAGTAATGTTGGTTTAAAATTGTCAAGAAGTTTTGAAAATATTTGCAAATAATTAATTAAAATCACTATGATCATTTTACAAATTATGTTCGTTTCTCAATTCCCAAATCCACTGATTTTGGTATAAGTAAAAAACCGGTAACACCTTGCTCCAATCGTTTCTGAAAATATAAACATTGTCAATTGCCAAGAATTAAAGAAAACTATTTATAAAACTTTATATAAATGTAAAATATAATACCTCTGTTGCATGAAAAACATATCGATGAACCAGATTGACCAGGGCTAATTTAATCTCCAACTGAGCCAATCGCATGCCCAGACAGTTTCGAGGGCCGGCACCAAATGGCAAATACGTATAGGGATTGTGGGCTATATTTTCCGCTAAAAACCTTTCCGATCTAAACACTTCCGGGTCAGCAAAGTGTTCCGGGTCTCTGTGTATGGCATAGATAGGGATGTGCACCACGTGATCTTTTTTGATGTTAATACCGGTGCCCTTAAGCTCATAGTCCTCATTAGCGACCCTCTCGTGGAATATGACGGCTGTGTATAGCCGTAGGGTTTCGTCGATGACTGCGTCCATGTATTTCAATGCGTAAAAGGCTTCGTACGGATCGGCATTTGATTTCTGTTTAATTTTTATGAAAATTTTTAAAAATTAATTTTTATATTAGGATTTAAATTATAAATAATATGATATTTTTAAACTTTTTACCTAAATTGTAAATAAATGTACAAACTGCAAATTTCAATTTTATATGCATGAAAATATTTTAATCATAATAAATTTGATTAGACCTGCTAGCTAAAATATCTCTGAATTATTTTCAGGGTTATTAAATGCACTAGTTACTTTTTATTTATTTCTGTTCATTAATCTATTGTATTTAAAGCGTAACTAAATATTATTAGTATTTAGTATAAAAAATTATGGCATAGATAACTTTAAAATAATATATTTAAACCTGTTGTTCATGAAATTTATTAATTTCTTCGTATAGTTTTTGTTGGACTTCTGGATGTTTAGCAATACTATACAAACACATGGATAGAGTGGTGGCAGTGGTCTCATACCCGGCCACTAAAAACACCACACATTGGGCTATGAGCTCATCGTATGAAAGGCCTATAAATATGTATAAAACCGTATTCATTATACTTTATCCAACAAATTGTGAAATAAGTCTATAATCATTTAAAAGCTATTTAATACTTACTCTTATCCACCATATCCTCCGTGACCTGTATTTCCCGATATTTCTCTGCACTCTGACTATCCGTATATTCATCGGACCCATCGATCGCCTCATTATTATTATCTCTCTTTGAATCCAACATAAGTTGAAAAAAGTCAACCCTTTTTACAGGACTTCCGGTTTCCAAAAGGCGTTTCCTATCGTCGATCAAATTAAGAGTAAAATCGCGGAAAAATGTTGTAGCTTTACTATTAAACGGAGTTATCTTGAACATTTTAGCAACATTTGGTGCTATCATTACTGTGAACATTCGCATCAAAGCCAACAAACTTGTGCTGAACATATTGCGCGCGTTTTCTATGATAGGGTTATTTGGGTCGACCAGAGCCGACACTTTCCGGCCGAAAGCCACTTGTATTATAGACTCCATAACATAGGCTCCGGTAATCCGATTCATGTCTACCGGTGCCGAGAGTTTGCCATTACTTTCGGCAATGATTTTGTCGATGTTGTCGTTCATAGTGTCCACGCATTCAAGGATTAAAGGAGTCATTCGTTTGAGTTTTCCGGTCGTAAATGTGGGCGACATTACTGTACGGATCCGTTTCCACTCGGAATCCCTTTTAAAGCCAACCATGTGTTCAAATATAGGATTACCGCCCGTACGGAACTCCTAATTTGTATAATATTATTGTATTAGAATAAAAATAGTTTAGTTTTTCGATTAACTATTTACAAATAAGACTTTTGTTTGTAATATAATTTAATACAAGCTGCAAATAATTTATTTTAATTATATAAAATACCCATTATTTTTATTTTTAAATTTTAGCCCATTTACATCACAATTGCTTTTCAATGATTTTTTACATTTTTATAATTTCAACCCATTTATCTGATATTAAAAATAAGTTATTAAAAAACATCTAACTTGTAAGTGTTCAAATAAAATTTATTTGTGAACATAATCAATCCCTTTATATATTTGAATGAGTAAGTGTGTGTGTGTGTTTCGGTGTCTATGAGTTGGGAAAACCGGTTCTCTATCTCTCGGATCCGGTTGGGAGGAATGCAGTCATTCTCATAGGATATCAACACTTTTATAATGGATGCCGTCCCCGACCCAGACTCAGCATGACCCATGTTACTTTTCAATACCCCCAATGGCAGTGGTTCCTTACGTCCCGGCCCTTTACAGTAGGCATTGTATATAGCTTTTACCTCCAAAGGATCGCCAACCTAATTAAACGTAATATTTAATGTGGCTTTTATATCGGTGTTGGGAAAATAAACCCATAAGTTGTGAGTCGAAAGATATTTATTTAGCTTACGTGTTGAAGTTTGTTAAAAAAGCTTTTCCAACTAACCGAAAATTGTGTGACTATATACCCAACACATATTATGGGATATTCATTAAATGAATACTACAACGATAAACTTACTTTGGTGCCGGTACAATGGGCCTCAAAATAGGTTAGATCCAGGGGATCGACATTAGCCTCCTTATAGGTGTCAACCATGAGCTCCTCCTGTGACTCGGATAACGGCATAAACATCCCTAACGTCTTGTGGCCGTCAACGTTCATGCGGGCCGACCGCACACTGGCGTACACTCGACGCGCGCACTCACGCCTCTGTAGAAACACTCCACACACGGCCTCCCCCTTTACAAACCCATCGGCCCCCTCGTCCAGTACGGCCGACACCCCCCGGGCCGAGCATAGGCCCAACTCCTGTGCCATTTGCAGTATAAACGGCTCGAACGTCATGTGTGTGCCGCACACGATGGCGTTGTCGATGTGACCTAGACACATTTGATGCATTTAATGATCGTTATAAATCACTATAATATAGGCTCCATAATATTATTATGAATTGCATATTTAGCAAGCACGCCGTATTACCAATAATTTTCAAAAATTGTTGCTGATATAATGGCACGCCTACAAAATATGCTAATCATAGGACCATATTTAAAATAAAGTCAATACCAAGCCGTAGGTCGTTCATAGCCAGACAGAAGGCAGTGCCCGACCCCGAGCAGGCGGTGTCCACTATCATCGACGGACCCTTCAAGTCAAACACAAATGATATGACACTCGAGTAGAAGGTCTTCGCGTTAAACATCTGTAGGATTCCGGTCGACAAATACGAGCGCAAATCGGGCTGAGCGTCCTCTGGGTAGCCGTCGGTCATGGCATATGTCACTACACCCACGTACACACCTGTCCTACTGCCGCGGATCTCTTGTGGATTGTAACCTTGGTGAATATGTTGATATTATTATAAACACTATTTAACCCAGTTGTGTTGTAGCCATTGGAGGGTTTTGCATAACTTGTGTGCATTGAGTAGGGTATTATATATTTTCTATGACACGTGCCATACAAGTGGCACAACACCTCCAGGTTCTACGACACCATTTTGGGGCAAATTAACGTTTATTTGTTGTTAAGGTTAACCAAAATATTCGCATGATATAAATAAATTAATATGCTAATTTTAATTTATGAAAACTAACCCGCGTCAGCTACGGCCTCGTGGGTAACCTCAAGGAGCATCCGGGCCTGGGGGTCGATCTGGTTCACCATTTGCTCGATGAGTCCAAAGAAAGTCGCGTCAAACTTATTGAAGTCCATAATCTTTCCCATCCGTGGGTTTATATCCAGTAAATCTAATAGACATTAAATGTTATTAGCTTAATCACCTAAACACAAGTTGATTGTTTTTTGCCAGGTTAATGTTCATAATAAATATTTACGAGCACAATATGGCAATTCTCGATGATCACTGAACCGACAAATTTGTTGCTAAAAATCATGAAAGGCATACCCGTTGGCCATCGACTGTCATCGGCGGTAACCATATCGACGCCGTCGTATAGATTGCGTGCGAACTCGTCGGTGGTGTCCGACAGTGGGAACCGACCGGACATACCGCTGATCACCACATCGTTTGTCGACATATCATACGATTTAAATTTGTTATGAAAGGCTTAATGAGAACTTTTCAAAACTTTTAACTGATTTGATAAAACTTTGAATTAAATTGTAAAAATGATTTATGCTGGCTGGCTTATATAGGCATAGTGTCGAGTTCAACAAATCATAAAACTAAAAAAATATATTTTGTATTCATTAGTTTTATGAGGTTATTCAATGTGTACAGTCCAAAATATTCACATGTGGACCCTTAAATTGTATAGTATATAATTTTATTTAATCAATCTTTTGTATGATGATTCATAATAATTATTTTAATAACTACAATAGTATCTACAGTAATAATATTAATCTAGTCAATAGTAGTTATTTATAAATATAGTAATAAATGTTAATCATAATAAAAAGTGTTATATAATGTATGAGTCCACATATGAATTTTATCGACTGTACATACTTATTAAAGCAGGTATATGAACTAACATTGTTATTCATTATGTTAGACAGCCATTATGATACTGTAAAATATTTATTAGTTTCGAATCTAATGGCTGTTAAGAATTTTAACTAATAAAATATTATTGATACCATATTAATTATTATTACTGATACGTGAGTTAAATTTAGACACCCTCAAATGAAGGATATAAGTTTATACTATTTATATTTACTAGATACTATGTACTAGATTAGATGCACTTTTATCTTAAAAATATTGAGACGATCGATTCATTGAATGCCAAATAAAAGTGCTTGAATAACATTTGGCAAACATATTATATTACTACGTGATGAAATTATTTAATTAATTAATCATAATCATACCATTGAATCCATAATCATACTGGTCGATCAATTCAGTGGTTTATTTAAAATATAATTTTAACTATTAATTCATACATGTTCAAACATAGATTTTAACAAAAGTTTTTTTAAAATTTCTAATTACTGTAAGTTAGTTATTTAATTAAAAAATTAAATTCGCTCAATTTATGCACTAATTTAAACTACCTTTATAAATAATGCTTTAAATCGGACTAAAACAATAAATTATATAAAAAGTTTTATAATAGTTGATATATTTTTACAAACATTAATAATATAAATATTATGTAACCTATGAAAATTAAATTACACAATTGTATTTAAAAATTATTTTCTAAACTATTTTTAAATTTGAAATATAATTTAGAAAAATTGTAAACATATTTTAAAAAGTGTATTTAATTATAATAATTTTAAAAATAAATATTTTACTTATATTTTAAAAGTATAAGGTATATTATTTTAAAAATAAAATTTTTAAATTTATTCTTAAGTAATCTTTAGTGCCTAATAATTTCACAATTTGTATTAATCACGTATAAAAATATGACCATGAACCAAACAGACTATTCAATAATGTACTAATGTTAGCTATTGCAGTATTAATTATTGCGTTTGACTAACAATTTTAATGTTAAAATTGATTTTTAAAAATTGAACTACTTTACATTTTTAAGATTATTTTGTATGATCTTATTTCAAAACAAAAAATATCAAAATTTTAAATTTTATATGATATTTATAGTGATAAATTACAAGTTTTTAAATAAAATGACTACAGATTATAATTTTATGTTTCACAAGCTTTCATAAATAGTTTATATAAAATGTATAATGGTTTGCATACTATATGATAAGTATGGTCAGTAATTTTAATTGTAATCAATTAATTTAGTAAATTTAATATACACAGGTATAAAAGGTAATCAAGTGCATGTGGATATAGTTCACATCAATGATGCGTGTCTAATTTTAATTTAATAAATTTTATAATTATTTAGGATGTTTTTTAACTTAATTTTCAAATGAAGTATGTAATTACGATAAACAAAAATTTAAATAAATTAAAAACAATATTAACTAAAAAATAATGTGGAATAAGTTATAATTCATTGTTATTTATTAAAGGAGTTAAATTGTTTATTATTATATTGTTAAATTTACACAATATTTGTTTCATTAATTAATTAATTAATTAAAATATCTTTACCCCTGGAAAATGCTTATTACAAGTAAAGCAATTTATTTAAATATTAAACAAGGTTATATATTTTTAGTAATATTGTTATTTAAGGGCTGCGACTATTTTTGAGACTACCTCCCCGGCCATTATGTCCATAACACTCGTAGTGTTAACGACATCCATTTCGATATTATGCTGTCCATCCTATTTGGAAATGTTATAAAATATAAAATACACTAAATTTCACATCTTAAATATACTACATTAAGCAATACATACATTTGAGCCGGGTAGGAAATGCAAATCCCTTGACTTTTCCATCACCGCATCCACATCATGGACGCCATCAAACATAACCGGTTTAATGAAAACCAATTTCCCCGTCCTTTTCGCCCATTTCTTTGCGATCGTGAGTTTCAGTCGATTTGAAAACTTCTTGCGTTTATTGAGTCTATACTCCGATAGCATACGAATCCGGGCTATCATTACGTGAAATATCTCCTCCATATCGGGCGCCTGTAGTCCTTTGCCGGCAAACTCCAGGATTTCATTAACAATAAACCGCACCTTAGCGTTGGTATCCTGCTCATTTTTAGAATATCTTAGTATTTTCTTCTTGAACAGCTCTGGTATATCACTGGCCATGTAGTTCATCATTAGCTCCAGCATTAGGTCGTCGGTGAGCTGTTCGTCACAGATCTGTAGATCACTAATAATGTCCACAATAACAGCCTTATCTACCATTCCCTTCAGCAGTAGTTTGGAGCAAACTATAGACATATCAAAATAGCCGAAAACATCGTACTGGCCTTTTGGCTCCAGGTGATGTAATAAGTCCACGTAGTGCTTGATAATTTCTTTAAGATTGATCAGTTGGCTAACCTCTCTGGTCCAATTTAGGCCAATTAATGGACGGTTTAACCTTTGAGCTAGGTCACCAAATAGTTGAAAGTTAAGGAAAAGGGTTGGCATTATATAGACGGGTCGACCCTTTGTTACGGTATTCAGACGTTCATACTTTTCGGTCGGCATTACGATCTTTTGATTTAACAATTTAGCCTTGCACCTTTTAATGTCGTCAATATGTGCCTTAATATTATCCACGTTACCAGATTCATAGTCCTTTAATAGGCCGATTGTGATACTTTTGATCTGGTTCAGGGTGATTTTAAGTTTCCACTCCCTTTCCAGGTCTTGTTGCAATTGATTGGCAAATATGGACTCCAAACCGATCTCACCCAGGGTTAAGTGGTTGGGTGTGGTCTCGGAGTCGATGCCTAAGCTTCGCCATAATTCAGCCCCCAGGCCAGGGGTAGAGGTACCATCCTTTATGATCTGACCAACATTAATCTAGTACAAATTTAGTTATGAAAACAATATCTATCTACTTTATGTGCAAACTATATATCACATAAAAATCTGTTCTCTACAATTTAGAAAATGACTTATTAAAAAATTACAAGGTGTCCAAATGCCAAGCCTCTCAAATTGCATAAATGTTTAAAAACATCTCTGTATATGAGGCATTAAAAATTATATTAAATCAATGTATAGTCTCTTACATATGACGTAACGATCGGCTGTTTAATTGCCAACAATTTGTCCAAAACATCGCAACACGAGTGGATCCGTTGTGCCCTCATTGACGTCATTGACAGCCAGTCACCTGAGTTGGCAAACACTCCGACATCACCGATGGGTCCGAACTGTACGGCCAGTCCGTGTAAGCCATCCCTCCGGCGTTTTTCACAAATACGTTCACACATGGAGTTCCCAAATGCGTAGTTAGTCTGACTTACATTTCCTTTACCGCAGGATACGGATGAAAATACGACAAAATAATCCAAATTATAGTCCAATTTTCGAGTCAATTGATCCAAATTTGCAAAAATCTTATGTTTGGTACCAATAGTCGAGTAAAACTTATCAAACGTTTGCTTCTCTATAAAGCAATCGTTGAGTTCGAGTGCCAAATGAAATACCCCTCCAATGGGTCCCAACTTTTGGGCCTCTTTTAGGAGTTGTTGTGTGCCTTCAATAGTCATACAATCAGCGGTCTACACGACATAATCGCACTTAAAATACTTGAAATCTTCATATATTGTTTGAGTCCTATTATACAGCCATTTTTGATAATCCGATTTGACTCCTGACCTCGAGGTCACCACAAACTTTCTTGCACCGTAATATAGCATCCAGGGCACCAGTTCCATACCAAACCCACCCAAACCACCTGTTATTATGTATACTTTGTTTGGATTGAAGTATGTCTTAACCGTAACCATCATATCGACGGCCGGATTAATGGCTTTCAGTGGCTGTCTATCCATCTCTTCGTCTCTCATTTTGATGACTACTTTCCCGATGTGTTTACCGGTTGTCATGAATCTGAAGGCCTTATCCGCATCCGAGGCGTTATAAAGGGTATAATTGTATGGTTTTACGCAACCATTCGTACTATTCTTATGCATCCAATCGTAAAAGTCTTGCCAAAAGTTAGGGTCATTCATAAAGACGGCGTCCATTCCCACACCAATAAACTGTATGTCCCTCAGGAAGTCAAACATACCCAGCTGCTTGTTTTGAAACATATCAAACTTCCCGATCTCTACAAATCTGCCACAATTAGCCAGGCACTCATAACTGGCATCCAGTTTCTCTCCGGCTAACGAGTTGATCACAATATCGACTCCCTTTCCATTCGTTAACTCTTTGATCTGATTCTTGAACAAAATGTCCCTCGAGTTCAGTATCCTTTCCTCCGGTATGTTATACTCATTCATAAGAAACTGTTTTTTCTCATCCGTGCCGACCGTCACATAGATATCGCACTCATAGTGTTTGCAGATATTTAGAGCCGACTGTCCGATACCTCCCGCCGTCGAATGAATTAAAATGCTTTCGCCTTAAAATTAATACAAAATAAAAATAATAAATATATTTCCTTAATAACATATTATCAAAGTGAGTTTATTTAAAAACTGTTTTAAAAGTTTAACATTTAGAATATTACTTATTATGAATATTTAATTGATTAAAGTAAGTTGTTATATTAATATTTAGTTTGCTGTTTATTATAAAGCATAGAGTACATTTATTTTGTTATTTAAAACACTCAAGAATATTTTCTTAAATTACCTTTCTTCAAATTGGCACGTTTTATGAGTCCATACCAGAGCGTACTATAATTGTTAATAATAGTGGACGCGTCGGCCATAGACCAGTGGTCGGGTATTTTAGTCATACCCGAGAGGGTGGCGTTAATAGAGGTGGAGACCGTACGGCCCCCTTCCAGACCCATAACACGTTCGCCCGTATCGGCCCTACGACCGGCGTATTCATAGCCTATCAAGCAATCTGTGAATAACTGTTCAGGGCCAAATGGTATACGACCTAGTTACGAATAATTTATTATCTTCTTATCATCTCTATTTATATGCAAAATATAACATTTTATGAAAAGTTTATTACCGGTTGATAACATGACATCTCTGAATGAGATACCTGAGCAATAGATTTCGACCCTGGTCAGAGTCTCTTTATTATTACTCATCCCCCACTTCTCATTAACTCGGGCTATATTGCGGGAGTCATACCACTGAAGTCCTCCCAAATCTCCCATTTTTGATGAATTCAAGTGATAGTCATTTGAGAGGCATTTGTCGTAATCCGTGGGAACAGTCCTGAGCTAGAAGTGTTCACTTTTCCCATTAACAAACAATGTTACTCTTTTTAGTCATTTATAGGCTAAACTTTTGTCATTTAGCCTGTAGTAAACCATATTTTTAATAACATACACTTTTTATTGAATGTATATAGTGTGATACTTTGATATATGAAAAAGTATTGTGCGTATAAACACTGTGTTTACCATATTTTTGAATGATATATCTTTAAGGCATAGATTGATATCAAGGTATAAATTGTTTACCACAAACTATAAGATACTGAATATATTAACTGTAATATAGAAGTGAGTATCTACTGTATTATACAGTATATGGTACATGTTTATAATATTCGCTATAAGCGTGGGTTAACTCTATATATGATTATATATATACATATACATATACATATACATATACATATACATATACATATTTTTCATATATGATTATTCAAGTGACAAACATAACCAAACAGACAAATTTGGACAAACATTACGATATGACATACAATTTAATTGCTACAAACTTATATGCCATATAAAATAGTGTGAACGTATAT